AAAAAAAAAAAAGTGAAAATTTTCTAGCTGTCCATATGATTCGCTAACAATATACGATGGTCCAAATAATAAGCATCCAATTATTCGAAAAATATGTGGCTTACAGCAACGTATAGTAATTTATTCATTTGGGCCGAGTACATTCATTGAATTTAATACAACAAGTCCAGCTAAAGCTGATCCACGAGGGTAAAATTTGTGTTTATTTGCATATTTAGTTATTTGTCATACTTCATTTGTTGCCCATTCAAATATATCAATTATCGATATTTGTTATCGTTGTTATGGCTGTTTTTGTTATTGTTGTTGCTGCTGTTGCTGTTATTGTTATTATTATTATTATTATTGTTATTGTTATAGATATTCATTAGATTATGAATTTTCAAGTCGTTATGTGGATGTATTGAAATTGATGGATAATCAATTAGGCATAACACATTTGCGTGGTTCAGAATGTGATTTGCTAGTAAGAAGTAATCGTGAAACAACCCATTATATACATTCCCCTAAAGTATGTTTATAATTGTTAATTTTAAATAACTGAAATGGGATTCTCACGAAGCGATAAATGGTTTCAATTATTGATGAAATTGGATAGATTAATATGAAGTAAAGAATTTGAAGAATGTTTTCAATTGTTTTATCTTAAATAGCTAAAATTTAATAAATACTCATAAAGTAAGAAATTTAAAAAAAAAAAAAAATTTAATAAAAATGATGCATAGTTAGTAGTAATGAAATTGGTGAAATAATTTGAGCTATTGTTAGATATTTCAAAAATACGTACGTTTGTAAGTTGATAGAATTTTTCAGTATCCACTAATGTATCCAGCTAATACAACATGTACATTCATCATTGATGGTTTACAAGGTGAGCAGAATCTCGAAGAAGTAATGCTTACGTTCGAGAAATTTGCTGTTTTAAGTGAAACAATTGAAAAGTTAGTTAAATGACAAATACTTTTCACTTTTTGGTTTATTTTTGAGGAAGACAAAAAAAAAAATTTATTCATCTCCTTTTTTTTAAACAAAATTTAATTGTTAGCTTATTCAAAAATTCTTCAAATTATCTATTTTTTAATTTAGGCAAACTTTTTTGATTGTATTGGTTAAATTAATTTTGTTTCAATTTTTTTCAAGAATTATTAAAACGTAAAATTGATTATTTTTTTAAAAATATATTAGTCATTCCTTTTTTTTTTAGTACTAATTCAATTTACTTGAGGCATTCCTCAACAGATTATGATGATGATGAACCGTGTGCTACGTCCTATGTCGGTATTGCTTTCATTCCGACAACCATTAAAAGTGTTTTATCGTCCGGTGAAGAAAGTAATTATGATGTTATGCTATGTGATCGCTTGCAAAACGGTTATTTCCTAACACTTTTATTTGATTAAATTTTAACTTTAAAAATTTTTCTCAAATTTAATCAGTCACTTTTTCAAGTACTAATTTGAATGATTTTTAAAGTTAAGGTTGTGTAAATAATTTGCTATAATTATTATAGGCATTTACATGAGTATGGGAGTTTGTTTGATATTGTTATTTGATAAAGTAATTGTATTTGAAATTTCCATTTTTATATTTCATTATAATTTCAAAATTGCTTTTTATTTGATAATAATTTGAAAAAGACAAGTGAGATAAATTAAGTTACGGCAAAATTTGAATTGAAATTTATAGGTTCGCATGCTTTGGGTCCTTATATCAGTGATGGACCAAGAATGGTATTAGTATTCAGTTCGAATGAAAAGATTTCTAATGGTGATGGACAGAAACCATTAGGATTTAAAGCCAAAATTCAATTTAAAACAGGTACCAAGTGATAGTTGCATGAGTGTTATTTGCATTTACAATGTGCAAAAAAAAATATTTCATTATTTTCACTATTATTGTTTAGAAAAAGAAATCTTACTTAAGACTATTTAAAATTTTGTAATTTTGAAAATGCTTTAACACTTGTATTATTTGAAATCTTTTTAAGCAATTAAAATAACCGTTTTTAAGCAAATAAAATTACCTATTATAAATTTTATAGATTTTGGTATTCCGGGTAAACCGATTGGTGATTCAAATCAATGTATGTTTCAGTTTATGAAGCCACGTGGATGGTTTAATAGTCCACGCTATCCGGCAAATGTAAGCTTACTGCACTTTTTTTCTTCATTGTTTTCAAATGTTAGAAATAATTTTTTGCAAAAATTCATTTACAGTACCCATTAGACACCAATTGTACTTACATTATCAAAGCAAAACCGGATGAACAAATTCAAGTATACTTCGAACAATTCGCTCTTTATGTTAATGAACATTCATCATCAACTGAAACAAGGTTATGCTTTTTTTTTTTCGTTTTTTTTTTTCATTTAAATTTTCAAATTTCAAGAGAACTATTTAAAGGTTTAGTCAATATGTTGTTCTTAGTATTCATTAACACGTAAATAACGTGTTACATTTACTAGACGATACAATATATAAAGTTTATAACAAATCAATTATTAATCGTAACCGTTTCTTTTCAATAAAACGACTTTACATAAGAAGTTCACGTTGGAAGAATTTTATGTAAGATATCATTGCAAATAAACCTTCTGATATTCTGATAAGAATTCAGTCAAACTATTAAACCTTCGAGGTGATGACTATAAAACTCTCGGAAGCACGTTAATTTATAATAATTAGAGTGGTAATTTTTTTTGCTGAAAAAAATGGTTGCAATTGTTTTGTTTTGTTTTTTTTTTTTTTTTGAATCAAATATTCTATAAAAATGAATGAAAATGAAAAATGAGAGATTAATTGACAAATTACTTGTATTTCAGTTGTGCTGATTTTCTAGAAATATCGGATGTTTTTATTAAAGATGGTGTGGAAATTTTACAACTTCAAGGTAAGAGAGAAATACTTAATTTAAATGAATTTTTTTGTTAAATTTATCCATTTTTTTTTATGTTTTAAGAAGTAATGATTTTATTATGAAAATATTTCAAAGTCAGTTTAAATTAAGATAAAAATTAGTGGGAAATTTTTTAGCTCGTTATTGTGCGAATACATTTCCGGGACCAACAGTAACAGCATTTGGTTCACATGAATTACGGGTTTTTTTCCGTTCCGATCACGAAGGTACCGGTAATGGCTTCAAAGCAATCTATCAAATTCGTAAAGCATTCACTGAGGAAATTCCAACAAAACGTTCGTACAAATATTTTGCAAATATTTTGACTCATTGTTTTAAAAATGATCAGAATACACGGATTGATTTTATTTAAAATAAAATTCGCCTAAATTTTCCTTTTAAATCATTTAAAGAACTTAATAGTTCCTTATTGAATGTTTCATTTCGATTTGAATTTTTAAGAAAATGCTCAATTGCAAAGGTGTGCTGAATTCTTATTAAATTAGATGTTAATTATCAGAATATAAAACGATGTAGCAAAATTTTAGCACTTGCTCGACATTGTGGTCAACGAATAGCTCGAACGAATGATTTGACCAGTGGTTGGTTAGTATCACCGGGATATCCGATCAAATATAATAAAGATTTGATTTGTGATTGGGAAATTACTGTACGACCAAATCATCAGGTATTATGTTAAATTTTTTGTTTGATAGTTTAAATTCATAAATAGATTCAAAATTTACATCTAAAATTAAATTCTTAATAAATCAATGAATAAGCGAGTTTGAAATTAAGCAAAGGAGTAAAAATTTTTTTTTTTAATTTATAATTTAAAGCGTAAAATTTGATTCCATATTAAAGGTATTACTCCATCTTGTAAAAATGGAAGTAGAGGGTTCTATGACTGCGGAATCAGTGAATTGCCAAAATGCGGTAATTCGTGTGGATGCCGAATACGGTATTGGTGCTGCTCAATCGGTGCGGGAAATCTGTGGTACCGATAAAACTGTCATACAACCTATCATTTCCAAAAATAACACTGTTAGAATTAGGTATTTTTCCATTTATAATTTCATATTCATATTTGAAATAATTCTCGAAAAACGAACCACTTCATTTAATTTAATTTTCATCAAAATTAAAGTTTAATTCTTAGTGAATTTCTCTACCAAACTGACAACAACAACAAAGTGCCTTTCTCGATCAATCGCATCTTTTCCATGTAAAATGTTAATATTTCAAAATCGTTTTTAAAAATCAAACTATGAGCAAACAATTTCAAATTAAAAAAGTGAGAGCATTTATGTCATTCTATTTATTAATTAAGTTGTTTTTTTTTTTCAGATTTTTCACATCACCAGATAAAGTAAATGGTTTGAAAGGTTTTAATTTCACCTGGACAGAGGTTAAGAAAATAACCGGTACACTTTTATTAATTATATTTCAAAAATTTCGCAGTATTTATACGTTTATTAATTGACGATTAAAAAATATATGCTAATTTTGTAGTAAAAAATAAATAAATTTAAATTATTCAAGGATATATAAATACAGTAGTAGAATGGGCCAAATTTTCCGATCTAATTTCTATAGTTTGGACATGGAGACTATTCGACACCATTTAAAAACGAACTTTTAGTCTCTTTCCTTTTTCTTGTATTTTTGTATATATACTTAAATTATGCATTAATCCTCTTTATGAGGTAGAACGATGATGAAAATTATCATTTAAATAATGACACTGTATGCTTAATATTTCAGAATTAATCTTGAAATGAAAATTACTTCTTTTTGTAAGCAGAATACTTGAAGGGAATTGAAAAAATCAAAAAACATATAATATTTGGAAAAAAAAACAAAAAAATCCATAAATCTACTTAAATGGATGGATTTTAATATTTTTGTTTTGGAATGTAAATTTTTCTTAATTATTCTACACAATTTCTCTTAATTACTTAATTATTCCGTGTATTAAAATTTCTTTTAGCTAAATTTTTTCATCGTTAAACAGCATAATTAAATTTAATTTAGAATCTTTTATGTTTTAAACAAAAATATCAATCAATTTGTTTAATTTTTTCCTTTTGTTTCTTCGCTTCCTAAAATTTATAATTATTCGATTTATTTCATTTAATTTCATTTTAATTTTTTTTTTTTTGCAGAGGATGATGAATGTTTGTATCCAACAATGTATCTTTGCACCTATACTAAATTATGCATTGATGCTCGTTTAAAGTGTAACGGTGATGAAAATTGTGGCTTACATGATGATACCGATGAAGCGCATTGTATGTTTACTATTTTAAAATTAAATTAAGTCATTTTTAAACTTTTTTCTACCACAAAATTAAATTAATTTTTCTCCAACAATATTTATATTACTATAATCGACAATTAAAAGTTATAATTATACGATGATATCTTTTGAAGCCTGCTGTATAGTTGTTCTTTTAAAATGAATTTTTAGTGAAATTAAAATTTTTTTAAAATTTTTTTGTGTGACAAAATTAAACAACCTTTTCCAACATATTTATAGGTGCTGCGTCGGGAATTTCTAATATTTAATCATTTCATTAATTAATTATTGCAACTTTTATTCTACCCATGTGTAGTGTGTAATGAATGTAAATATAATTTGAGGCAGATATTTGCGTAATATTCGATGATTATTTCAATCAAATTAATTCAGTATGTATGTTACTAATAAGCATTATTTGTGGTGCATAATTGAATATTATTGTGAGAATTATTTTATACAAATTAATTCAGATTACTAAAACAATCAGTTTACTTTTATTAGATAGACATTTATGAATCGACAAACAATTGCTCCTATAAAATATTAACATTCAAATCTTTTTGATACTTAAATTTAAAATCGAAAAATTTTTTCAAAACATTTTTTTTTTCTTGTTTATAATTCATGCATGTATGCGAGCAAAAAATTTGCATGCACGAATGAATTCATTCATCATTTGTTGAATTTGTAAACAACTTACCCACACAAAATTTGATGATATTTTATCCTTCTTCATAAAAATATCATTTAAACGGTATAGAAATGATATTATTGTTGATGTTTATTTTAAAAGAGAAAAAGGGTGAAATGAAAGGATGGAAGGAATTGAGAATGAAAAGAGTAAACAAGCATTCTTATTCAAATGTCAAATGGGATAAATGAAGTTTGTTAGCTAGCATTATTGACGAATCACTATTATTAGTAATACTACTTACTAACTATAAAATTACACATAAACTCTTTCTTTTTCTTTCTCTTTCTCTCTCTCCCTCTCTCTCTCTCTCTCATTCTTTCTATTTCACTTTTCAAACAATATTTAATATTTAATTCTTCTTTTTTTCTTTTAAAACTTAACTTCCAAAAAATTTTTATTTTTAAAACGAAAAAAAAACCCAATTAACATAAATTTAAAGTAGCATTATTAATAACAGTGGCTAATTACTAATAATAGTGAAAATATTTGAAAGTATTATAAATCTAACACTATATTTGAAATGATTATAAATCTAATTTAAAAAATTTTCTCGCATATATTGTTGAAAAAAAAAATCACTACAAATATTTAGTTTCATTTTATTAGGTAATAAATTGGAGAATGCAGCTGATGTACGAACGGTACTTTTTGCGGCAATATTTTCCGGTTGCATATTTTTGTTCATTTCTGGTTTCTTCGGTTATTTGTTTAAAAAAAAATTCGAGAAAAAGCGGAACAAACGTCGTCGTCGTGCAAAATTTGGAATGAAACATCAACGAAAACCATTTAGGAATTCGAGGCCAATCACCAAAGCTGATCCTCAGTTAGTATTTTAAAAAGATTCTTTCTATTAATAATATTTTGAATATTCTAAAATCAATCTAATTTTTTAGACTAACTAGTTTTTGTGATATTTTACAACGAAATTATATCGTATAATGATAATCGGTATTTATAAATTTAGCCTATTACCAGCACCAGCAGCGTCACGTCTAACGCATCATAACGTGACAACTGATATCATTCCATTATCGACGGAACAACGAAATGAAAAGTCACCAAATGGTGAAATGAGCAGGAACATTAATCCCCTATTTACACATTCCTTAAAACCTATTGATGATAGGAATACTTTTTATGGATAACTTTGTTATTCAATAATAAATTCATAAATGAAATCAAATTGAAATTAATCTCTTTGATATTGAAATTTTTGTAATTTCGAGACAAGGGAACTGTATATTATATCTACAGTGACATTAATAATATCAGTATATTTGAATATCAATTATTTCAATTAAATTTAACTGGATGAAAATATTACATATATTTGAATAGTTATTATTTTATTACTTTATATTTGTCCATTCTTTATATCCTTCTTAATTTCTTTGCATAATTTTGATTTAACATATTTATTTGTAAAAATTATCAGAAAATATTTGAAAAACTATAATATTATTATTTATTCTCAAACTGATCATATATTTGTGGAATTTGTAGGAAAAAACATTGTTGAGTTGAATTTACTGAAATCGATAATTAATTCTTGTCTTATTAAAATTAAAATCGATAATTATTGTTATCTGTAACTCTAAATTGCTTAAAATCGATCAAAATAAGTCAATAAAAATGATAAATAAATATTTACAAATTGCCCGGCATAAATTCATAACAAGTATTTGAAAGATTCACGACGAAGATTTTAAAAATAATTGTTATGCATTGAAAAAAAAAATCAATTGCAAATTCAAGGAATAATCGATGACTATGCGGTTGAAAATGTATTATTTGTTTATTTTAAACATTGATCTTTTTGTTTGTTGTTATGAAATATGAAATGCTTTTCCTGGTGCTTTAAACATTTCTGTTCTATTAAATGATAATGTACAATATAAGTAACAGTATTGTCCTAATACTGTTGAACAGAAAATTTAATTTGTTTATTGAAAATTTTGTGATTACAGCAGATATTATTTGAAATGAAGGAATAAAATAAAATCAAAAAAGTGGCTAAATTTGGCATTAAATAATCCAATATTATGCTTACTTTTACCGAAAGTTATTTTTTCACATGGATAATAGAGTTTTATGATTGAATTCGTCAAAAGTTACAGTATATATTTAGTTCTGGTTTAAATCACCACTTGATGGTTGATTAGAAAAACTGTTCGAAGAAAGTGAAAATTTGATATGAAAAAAATAAGCACTGAATAGATATAGATTAAAGAAATATGAGAATTTAAAATGTAAATTTGATAAAGAACAAGGCTTACAAAAACAGAAAGCTAAATAATTTAACTGTTACAGTTTCAGGCTTATTCCATATTCTTATCCGTTCATTATACATCAAATTTTTTTGAAATAATTTTAAAACCCTATATTTCTATGTTTGTCAAAAAAAAAAAATGGAAATGTGAAATGGATAAATGAAACGTGGAATAAACATGATTAAAATGTAACCTGAAATTTCAAAGCTCATTGAATATCATTGGTTAGTTTTAAAATAAAATGTTGAAAACTGGAAAGCAAATTAATAAAATTGGTAAAAGAGAACAAAAAAGAAATTAGTGAGATATTTGAATACTTCTTTCTATTGAATGAAGTTAGAATTAGTAGATATTATCGAAGCATGCTGCTCTACTATAAAATGAAGCATTTCAGGTTCTGAAAATTTATAATAGAGAATGATAATAAATGTCGAAGAGAGAGAGAGAGAGAGAGAGAGAGGGAGACATAGAGAGGGAGGGAGATAGGGAGAGAAAAGAAAAGAGAGTGACGACTAGTTTTTGTATACTAACTCGAATTCATTTCTAAATAATTTAGGCAATCAAATAGTTTCATATTATATTAAAATTTCATAATATTATATGGGATGATAGTCTAATAATGCTAGTAATCATCAACCCTATCAATTATTACGATGTAATAAAATAGTGCAATACTAATGTAATGATATATCAATTTCATAGGTTTAATTTGATTAAGATAGAAATTGGATCATTCGTTGATTGTATCAATTGATAATATATCCATGCACTAATAAATCCATGTTATCGGTGCTTATCACTATGATTAAATATGTGTAAATGCAATAATATATGATGACTGATTAAAAAAAGTAGCTTTATCATACGTTTTCTTTCTTTTTTTGTTCCATTTTATCTCTTCTCATTCCAATCATTATAAATGCAATAATATGTAACACGAACGATACAGTCAATGATTGTGCATTAATTATGCGATAATTATCAATCGTATTAATTCGTTACATACGATGAAATGATAAAAGATATAGTGATAAATACATTTATCACTACTTTTTTTTTTCTCTCCCTCAAACTTATCAATAGTGATAAATACATTTATCAGTACTTTTTTTTTTCTCTCCCTCAAACTTATCATTTTGGGTCTTAGCACGCCCGCTTTCGTACTGTGTTAGTTAAAAGCTGCTTTGCACGAAGCAAAATGTTTAGTTCGGTGATCAATAATGTAGACGAGTCCGTCGTACCGTGCTGTGTGGTTGAGAGAAATTTTGTATGTTTGTTGAGGAGGAAGCACTGAGATATGTTCCATTCTATAAATTTTAATTAGCGCTCCCGCGATATCGCGGAATTTTCACTCTGTTTTTTATGGAGTTTCTTCATGTCACTCCACAAGCTGATTTATTGGCAATTCTAATATCAGGATTTTATATATATATATATATGTGTATATATGTATATAAAAAAAATTCTAAGTACATCATATATTTAATAGTAAGTATTACTTCTCATATATGATCTGATTGATAATTCAAGGAATTAATGAGCGCCAGAAGTGAATGCTCCGGAAAGTTTCTTCGTATCAAATGCCGAGAAATCATTTTCCGGTTATGCTGAATAGTTTTTTTCAGACAGTTTCATCCTGATCATTGATATATTTTTTTCTGCATTTATCCTTTTGTGAATTTTTTGTGTGTGTGTATGTGTGTGTGTGTGTGTGTGTGTGTGTGTGTGTGTGTGTGTGTGTGTGTGTGTGTGTGTGAGAGAGAGAGAGAGAGAGAGAAAAAAGATGAATTTGGGTTTCTCTCAATGCATTCGAAAATTTTTGTTAATAAATGAAATTTAACAAATAGCCGTTTGTGAATTTTCAAAGAAGAGATACAGCTTAATTCAGTAAATCATCGACTAAAACAAATTACCTCGAAGAGACGACTGAAAATTTAGAAAGTAATGATATCAAATGAATTTAAAAGTCACAGATTTGATTATTGTTATTCAGAATTTTACAGGTGTATTGCAAATGTTTTTTTGGCTTTGAAAAAAAAAAATTCAACTGTTAACATAAATTTTTTTATTTTCAGATAAAACCTGCAACTCGAGATATCTGAGAAGTGTCGATCGGCCGGTTGTGAGGTGGTGTGGCCGGCTGTTGTTGTTGTTGTTACTTTGAGGTGTGGAAAGTAGGAAGGAAAATGGCTATGGAAGTTGAAGTATTACAAAATGTAATTTTCTTATGAACAATTTTTATTCGATTTCTCATAGATGAATTTGATGTCAAAACAGATTTTTTTCCTGGAAGCTCGTTGCTTCGAAAAATTGTGCACGGAAGTAAATCTCTTTGCCTAAATATTTCTCCACGAGTTCGCCTTTTGAGTTACAGCCTGCTTAGGAAATTTCTTTTTCGCGGACAACTTTACAGAAAATTATGTGTTGCGAAGCGGCTTAGTCAGAATAATCCGAAACTTAGTATTTTAATTTCAGTGAGTATTCATCATGAAACTTTAAAGAATTTGATCTTTCTATGATACTGCGCTGAACATCTTTATTTTTGTGTGTATAGTGATCTCATTGTTTCACGGAGTAATCTTTCACATAATTTACATTAAAATATTCTTTAACGTTGACGAACTCAACTATAAAATGTATTTGGGATAAAAGCTTATCGAAAAGGTCATGGAGTTTGAAAATTGCTGAATTAAATAGTTTAAATTCCGGAACAAAAAACCCAATAAATATAAGTTCCAAATTTTTTGCTTTAATATAAGCTTATTTTTCTTCCAAAGTAGTGTGTGAATTCTCATCTATTATTCCACATGAGAAATTAATATTTTGAAGGAGAAATAAATTTTTAAAATTTGTGCATGTTCAAGGAACAAAAATTTTCAGGGTTTAAATATTGCAGGATTTTGATGATGCGCCATTGGATGATGTTGTTGAGATGAAAAGCTTGAGTCCTGATCCGGCAGTGAGGCGTAGGAGGCCACGATATAAAGTGATATGCGCAGGAGAACGGCCCAAAGAAGTCAATGAACGTTTGCTGCAGCTTTATCCTTTTGTAGATCAAAAGGTGCATTCTGTGCTTTATTTCTGTATAAAACCATATTATGATCCTTAAAATCTAATGTTTCATAGTTCAGCACTTCAAAATGGAATTTCAGCGTGTGTAGTGCTGGGCTTTCGCGGACACTGCACATGCAAAAGTATCCATTGTGTCTGTTTGCAGTATGCGTCGACTAAGCTTAATACCAACTGTAAAATACTAACAAATTTTTTGGAAATTTAATTGTAGTTTGGAATGTGTATACAAATATTTTATATAGATAACGAAAAGTTGGAAATAGATTATTTTTAAACAACCATCAAACAGAGTACTTCGAAAATGGTCGATTTCAACATCTTTAGAATAATTTTCTTGAAAATAGCCATTAAGTGACAAGTTATAGTGATGCATTTGTGAAGATTTCAATTTTCCTGCATTTCAAAGAGAAATGAAACGACCAAACTATTCTCAGGTTTTTTGCATAATTATAGTAATTGTTACAGAAAACACCACTGCCGACACATTGGAGTCATCAGGATAAAGCAGCATCATTGGTTGTCACAAACGATTACCGGAATGTTGCTTATGCTGGTGAATATTGACAAATTTCAAATAAATGACGTTTTTGATCCCAATGCATAAGTTTTAGTCTTTGGAATTCCAATATCTTTTATTTATTGATCTTAACATTCTGCATAGTTTTTTTTTTTCTTGTACAGATAGTGGAGATCCCAATCAGGAGCTGAATGCAAAGGATGCTGCAGCGGTGCGCGCTGATAATCCAATCCCGATAACATGTGGTGTATATTACTTCGAAGTAACAATAGTGTGTAGCGGAGCT